GCAAGGGATGACAAACCCGCCACAGAATCCAATTGTCCGGCACCTGGTGATGTGGTGGGAATCGCTTTGATGAAGGATATCAGTCTGTGCAGCAAAAGCACAAAACCTGAAGAGACAGCAAGCGAGAATGGAGCGTACAATTTGTTTGTTTCAAGTATACAGATTCAGCTGGATTGAGCGAACTGCGGTTGATGACAAGAAGAACATGTTGAACTCAAACAGAGCAACTATTTAAGATTGGAATTCGGAAAAGAACCAAAAGAGCCGCAACCATGAGCTGAGTTTCTGAGTTCTTTGTTGAGCCTGTTCACTGATTGGCTACGTGGGATAGTGACTTGATGGAAGGTGCGGGAGACGCTGATACAGGAGTTGGAGGAGAATGGCGTTTTGCTGAAGGCATTATAGAGACTTCCCTATTTGGGATCTTGTTCTAAACTAGTCTCGCAAAGGTGTTCTGAAGTGGATGCTGTTGAAGCTGTTCATGTCATTAAGTATACAGTATAAGTTTCAAGAACTGATATTCTTGGCCTCGTGAATGTTCCAACGAGATCTCGCATTCGTGAGTCAGGCACCATCCTGGCCTCCTAAGGCTCCGAACCTGAAAGGCCGGCGTTTCTTGACAGGCGGCGCATTTTTCTCCACAACATAGCGTTAGATTTCTGGTTGGCAACCCCAAACCCAGTATATTCTATAGAACCAATTCATCTAAGCATTTTCTGATGAGGATTTTAGCTATCACTCATGTGAATGTGCCTTGCTTGGGCTGAACTCTAGAACCTGAACCTCTTAGACTGCACAACTTTGAGGCATCGGCCAGCCTACTGAACCACCTCGATGCCGGAACCCCTCTGCGAAAGTGGCGCAAGGTCCATCCAGTTTCCAAGTTGGCAGCTGCACCATTGACCACACTATTTATTATTAACAAAATCTAGGCATCAGCTTTGCTTGATTTGAAGCTGCGTTGAACATGCTGTCTCAATCAGAAGCCAAAGCTGCATGTCGCCAACGCTCTCATTTTGACAAGTAAATGCTTCTCGCGTCCCTCGGCAGATTTGGCGCGCAAGCATCGGAATTGGACCCGCTCTCCCCTTACTTGCACAGCTAAGCAGTGTCAGAAATGGGAAAACAAACATCCACTAGGAAGGGTCTCGAAGATTGATTGAATACTCCATGGTCTCAGGTGATGGGGACACAAAGAGGCTAGCGTGTGGCACCCCAGATCTATGAAAGGCCGTGAAAGGCAGAACCAGACTGAACTATATAGACTGTGCAGGCTAGAACCTGAGGGTCTGCCAGCCATTCAATTGAAGATCAATTTGATACTCTCCGTCCTTTGAAACTTTTGTAGCCTCCATTCTTTGCGATTGCCGCAGTATCAAGGAAATCCGTTCCGCGGCCACAAAGCTGCTCCGCGGTTCTATCCAAAGCAGACAGTGGTGATGAACTCAGCAGAATGCGAGCTTCGCGAAGTGTACCAAATATATCGACTGCATTCCTTTTTGCCAACCTGATGACCTCAGAGAGTTGGATTGGCCTTTAGCCATCTCAGTAGAGCCAAAGTTTAGAAAAAAAAATAAAAAAAACTGCAGAAAGCAAGGCTTCAAAGTGTCAGATTTTCTGCTTCTCTGAGGCAAATGATATCCAGAACTTGACTCCCTGTAACCACTTTTTCCCCAACCAGTCTGGTCAAGTTAAGCTGTCATTGGCATGGGTGGCGAATTTGCTGACCCTTGCAGCACACAAGTTCCTCTTAAGTTTTAAATCTGATTTCGACTTCGCAGGCTCGCACAAAACGAACGTGTGCTTTCCTCGACTGCGCTCTCGTTGTGGTGCACATTTTTGGAGTTGGTGGTCACTTTTCGTGGCAGGCGGAAGGGAATCCTCGTGTTTGATTGTTTGAAGTCGGCTTTTTGCAGCACGAGGTGCAGATTTCGTCACAGGCACAGCGCTTTGGATTTGGTTGGTGCTCTGCCTTCGTGGCAGGTGCAGTGAATCGTTCCTGGCAGCAAGTTGGCTGGGATTCGGCGCGCCGAAGTGTCTGGGTTCTTTGGAAGATCAAGCTTTTGGTGGAACGTGAGTAGTGCTGGAACATGTCGAGGAGGGTAAGATGTGAATGGCCACTGGCCGGTGTAGTGGGGCAAACTAAACACAAGGGTAGGCGCGGGCTCCGGTATGGTGATCGGTGGAAGCGCTTGGAGAGACACAAGGGCTCTGGTGACGAGTGGTGGGCCGGTATGATGGATGGGACACGATGATCGATGCTGGTCTGGTGGGAACGGGGGCTGGCCAGAGTCCATGTCACCAACAGGCACTTCCGAGGAGGTGGCAGATTCCTCCAGTGGCTTGTTTTCTGAATTTGGGAGATGGGTTTGTATTTTTCAAAGTGTCCGGTTTATGTAAGGTTGGGATGTTGGACTTATATAGGCGAAGCATACCCTTCTGAAAATGCTACTACTTTAGTCTTCGCACCTGCGAAAAATACCCCATAGTTAAACATCCTGGCCCGGGAACGGCGAAAAGTGCACTCCCGTATTCGTGCGACAACTTTGCTTTGGCATCTCGATCTTTTTTTGGAAGTGCTTTTGACGCTAAACGCATTGGCAGGGCTGCGCGATGTGCATTGTGATGTGCAGATTTCGTGGCAGGGGCAGCACTTTGTGAACCTCGAAGTGCAGATTTTGCGACAGACGCAGCGCAGCACTTTGTGAACCTCAAAGTATCTCAAAGTGTAGATTTCAAGGACGCAAAGTGCATCATCTTTGTGCTCTCACATGTGCTGACTGCTCTCATGCGCGTGCTCTCATGTGTGTACTCTCACATGTGTCCTCTCTCTGACGTGCTTTTTTACATGTGTGCTCTCATGTGTGTGGTGTGTGCTGTCATGTGTGTCCTCTCATGTTGTGTTCTGATGTGGGTGCCTGGTGTGGTTTCTAGGTTGTCCACACTGGCTTCGTTCTACTGAGCATGGCTGTCAGGTCAATAATCAGTTTCAACTGGTTCTGGCAACGACTGTTATGGAACATGAAGCTTGGTATTTGGAAGACGAGAATTTTTGTTCAAACGCTGCAGAAGGCTGCTTGAATTGACACCAAGTTCAAGTGCTGCAGTTCACAGAACTACAGGTTCCACACTGAATATTTTCAATAACTGTGGAGGAAACGTACACTTTGGTGACACTACATTTCCAACTGAGGCTGTCTAAAGCTGCCTCGTAAATTCCGTTAGGGAGGACATTTTTGAAGGCATCGCGTATTTTTGTCCCGCAAAGAAATCCGAACAATATTCTTGGGTTCTTGTCCCTCAATCCCTGACAATTAAGATAACAAAAAGTTACCAATCCACATGTTGCAATTCCATTGTGCTCCTGACTGTTGGGTAGAAGAGCAGCGCTTGGAGCAGCAGAAGAGGACATTCTAAGCAAACAGCAGAAACTCACAAATAATTCCATAGAGAAGCAGTGGAAGAACGAAGAACTTCGAAGATCAAGACTTGGAAAACCAATCTTGTTAGATGCTTCGCACATTGCATTTCGTGCACGTCGCTTGGGTGAGGGGAACATTCACCACCCCAGCCCTCACAGAGGTGTAAACAACTCCCAGCAAAAGACTATTCAGGGTCCAAAGCAACTGTTCATCTCCAAGAAGGTCCAAGTGCTTGAGGGGGCTTGTGCTTGCATGTCAAAAGGCTAAGATGTCCAAGATCCCACCCGTTGTTCGATTCGAAATTCCATGAACTTTGTGACTGCCTGTTTCTTGCAATTCTTCTGAGGGACAGCTGTGAAATGGACAGGGTGGGTGACATTCGCGTGCGTCTTTTCTCTTCTGTTTTGCTTGCAGGATGCTGTTGTCTTTTTCTTTGGGTGTCCGCGGCCTTTCGTTCGTTGTCCGGCTCAGCCAGGCTGATCTGGGTGGCTCTCCAGAATTGGAACCTCTCTGATACAAACTTGACTTAAAACTTTGGTTTTGAGAATCAGCTTCTTTGGTGAAACGAACACCTTCTGCTTGAAACTTGCACCAGCTGGAGCCCACTCGGGAGCCATCAGCGAACATCTCAGGACAGTTTTCAATGTTTTCATCCTGTTATGTTGTGCTTTTGTTCCCCCTGAAGCGGAGCATTCTATGAAACACATTGAAACCCAATGACTCAAAGATGCGATGGCTGGCTGGCTGGCCTGATAGAGACAAGAAGGAGTTTTCTTTCAATCTTAATCTTCGTCAGACACTTTCAAACCGTTTTCGATTCATTTCGACCACCCGAGCCCTTCTGTGTGCTTGCCAACAGTGTCTTCATGTCGACTAGTAGCAGTTGCGACTTCCCCTCCGCCTGAGATCGCTACCCCCAAGACATCTCATTGTGCCCAACCCCACAAAGGGAAGGCACATTGTTTGAATGACATTGTTTTAACTTATATGTTATATGTGTTTTTTCTTAGTTCTTCTAGAATTCTTGAAGCATGTTATTTTATTTTTTTTTTTCCGTCATGTCTCATGATGTCTCACAATGTCTCATTCCTAAGGTCTGGGAGGCACTCTCCAGAGCAGTGCGGCATTGAGCCTTCCAAGGCTATCACCAGCTTCGGGCCCTTCACCTCAACAGTCCCCAGGGCATTCTCCACGCAATGGGCAAGGAGCCTCAGGACCTATGTTTTTCATATCGTTGAACGGTTGATAGGCTTCCTTTTGACAATCTTGTTGAGATTGGATTGGCCAACTCCAAGCCAATGTCACCTAGGTCTCCTCGGTCTGAGCAGAGATCTTCCCGCTTGCGGGTGCCCCTCTTCACTGACTGAACAAGTCATTAAGCACAGATAAGCCATCAGTATCCTTTTCAGTTTTGACAAGCTCACAGCCAGTTGCTTTCTTTAACCCTGCTAGCCTCAATGGCCCTGTTTTCAGCACCAGTACTTTAGTGCAGCTGGGCCACACATACCCGCCAGACGAATCCTGTTGTGTTTTGGCTCAAGTTTTTTCACCAACACCAGACTGTAGGACGGGATCACCATGTCTTTCAGGGAGTCGGACAAGAATGAGGCAGGTCGATGGAGGTTTCCCTCGAGGTCACTCATAGAAACATTGAGCGTTCTAAAGAGAAAGGGACACCGGACGTTGATCGAATGACATTGCTCTTGACATTGCATCGTTGCACTGCAAGATTCACGACGCTTCCGACAGCAAGGAAGAGTTTGTCAAGCGAGCTAATCGGATGGTTTCGAGGTTGGCCGAGAAGAATCTCAGAGAAGCTGTGTTGTGTACGTAAGAATCACTGAATCATATGATGTGCTTTGACAAGCAATAATGCCAAGCTCTGTCGGCGGAAGCGGCGGCAGTCTGGCAGGTGGTCTGGCGAGCGTCAAACAGGCACCCCAGACCGCTCCAAACTGCAAAGCTACGTGCGCAGCCGCGAAGATGAGGCAGCAAGGTGAGGAAAAAACACAATTTCTCAATTTCTCAATACGTGCAAGATGCCAGCAATGAAGCAGATTCATGAAGCCACTTGGAGATATGATTTTCAACAAGACTCAAACTCCAACACTGTTGCATCTGGGATTTGACCATTTTCCACTGTGCGTTGGGTGACAATTTCATTCAGTAGATGTACAGAAAACCCTTTTCATAATTCAACGTAGAATGATCATTAATAAAATAAGTGAAAACTCAGGTAAGGTAAAACGATCCATGAAACCTCCAGGGCGAGCATTTAGTCCAACAATCTCCTGACCCCTACCGCGCACTTTCTATCAGGAAGAGATTCCATTCCATTTTGATTGCACTCACCAAGATTGCCATCCTCACATCGGATGAACTTCTTCATTGCTCGAGCAAGTGTACTGACCTTGCCCTGCATCCCCAGTGTTCACACCTTCTTCACCACGCCTCCACCTATCCTCTTCTTGATTGATGCCCATATCCTGCACAAAATACAGATTTGGGTCCTAGTGTCACAACATTTTTAGGCCCCTAGCAGAGCCAGACTCTATTCAGACTCTAAAAAGCCCATGCAAAGGAACAACGACAGAGCCAAGGCTCCTAAAGATCTAGGAACCGTTTCTCACAGCGAGAGTTGTTCAAGATACCGCATCCTTGCAAGCTACTAGCTAGCTTGCCTGCGCCATGCTATGCCTGCACGGCCTATCCCCACGGCTTTCAAAAAAGAACTATAATGGGAAAGACAGAAAAAACAAGAAGCATAATAAGACAAACGCAATGGTGGTCAAATTGCTTGGTTGCAGGGGCCGCGTGAAGGTCCTGGGCCGCCATATTGTAGAGCCTCAGCGACAGGTGCCAAGTCTCTTTGTGCAGCTTTCATACAGATTCATACCCACCTCGCTTTCTTTCTTCCTTTCTGCTTGTGGACAGCACACGTTCGCACTTGTGAATTTCACAGTGATTGCTGATCATGAGATGTTCACCCCCCGGAGGCCTAGAGTCTTAACGTACCTGTTATTTATTTATTTACCACTTGATTATTCTGCAATTCTTAACGCTTGCAAAACTGCAGGTACCTATACTGGACCGCTGCGAGGTCTTGGTGGTAGGAGCAGGGCCAGCAGGCATCGCATCATTGCATTGCCTTTGGACTCGCTGCCTCATTGAATCCCAAAATCCTCAAGCCGACATCCTGGGATCTCTCAGTGGTGAAGCATACTTCTTGTTCCTAGTAGCGAACATTGCTCCTAGTAGTACGGCCAGGAGCCCCTAGTAGCGATGCCAGGAGCCCCTAGTAGCTTCTTGTTGCTTGAATTTGTGAATTCCTTGAAGTTTCAAATTTCTGGATGGGCCCACCATTCTGTCGAATGCATTCCGGGTGATTCCCTCTTGGTCATGAAAGCTAGTGGTTGTCTGGTCGGCCAGGTGGATGGATTTGACCTGTGAGTTGGTTTCCATCTTTTTCCTGCAAGATACCCATGCTTATCTCATATCTATGTCACATGTCTGTATCTATTTACTCAACGCCACATGACACAAGTCAGCTGCAGCTAGATATTGCTGCGTGGCTCTGATCAGTCTTCACTCTCTTCCATTGCTTTGCCCTAACGTCATTTTTGTTTTCTCTTGCTGAAGCTTCAGCTCCTTTGCTTTTGCCTCGTTCCTTGTTATGCATTTTCTTTGCTCATCCGTGAAGCCATTATCGCACAGATTTGGTCAACTTAGTCTTGCGGCTTCTTAAAGCCGAAGTCCAAAAAGGCGATAGGTCTTGCCAGTGGAAGCATCCACCTGTTTCACTTCTAGTCCTGCAGCCTGGATCCTACTTGAGTAAACTTACAAGGACATATCACTGCTAAGCAATGGTTTTTAGCGACATTCACTTAAGAGGATTCGGCTGAGAAAACGATAAACCCCGGAAAATGATAAATCCAAGAGCATTGGACATCAACGGTAAACCAAACAATTCTCGGCTGAACATGGTTTTCGCGGTTTTCGTGGTTTTGCAGTTTTCGGGTTTTCGCGGGTTTCACGTTTTCGCAGGTTCTCCCTAGTCAAGATGACCGGTACTGGTTGAAAGCTAACCTATAAAGTTTCTAGTCACCACGGAATTCAACCAGATGAGCTGGCCCATTTGGGTTACGGCGCCGGAAGAAAAATTCTTCAGGAAGTCTTTGCGGGCTGGGGTCTGGTGGTAAGAACGGCCAACTTTTCACCTGCAGGGATGGCAGAAGTTTTGTTTTCTTGCCTTGGGTTTCTTTGGCAACAGTTTCTTCCAAGCTCTAGGCGCGTCTGCTGTTACACCTGCAGTCGTTCTTTAGACTGCCCAGAGGACTTGCCTTCGGGATTGGCAAACATTTTCTTAGTTACATCCGTGCGAATCCAGAATTCTTGGCTCATGGCACGATCCGCCGTCAACTTGGGCTGGGAGCAGGCCAACTTACAAGATGTTAAATCCATCTGACTAAGTCACTAGAGCAAATGAGATCTCAGGATTTTGAGCTGTCGTGACTAAAAGAAGCGAGGCTGCCAGTCACTCGCAGCTCGAAGGGGAGAACTCCTGAGATCATCATGTGCAATCACATGAGTCATGTTCATGTGGATGAATGCCCGTTGACAGCTTTCGTTTCAACGATCGATCGTTTTCGTTCCTCTGTTAAAATTTCGGGCTATTTTAATCCTAGCCTGGCGAGGCATGTTGACCTGCTACAGAATGACACAATTGAGGCAGCAGCGGCGACCCTCAAAGCAGTGAAATGGACATCATCTTCAATGAATTGAAGCGGGCGGGGCAATCTTAACAAGCTCATCACGGACTGCAACAGATCCCTGAGGAGAAACAGGGGACCTGTGAGAATTCCAATTGACTGGAAGCAAAGTGCACTCTGATACCAGCGCTTTCTTACGCGTGGGCTGTGATGTGGATGCTCCGGGAAATCGAGGTGAACGCCGTGCGGTGGAAGGACATCATGTCATCATGCCTGATTGGGCGTTGAAGAGGGCAACCGTCTACTTGCCCATCTCGAAGTGAACTCTTCAATGTTGCTCGTCGTGGCCGCGCTACAGGTGGTGTCCATGGAAGGCATGGCAAGGAGTTGTGGAAGTCCTATCATGGCGCAAGGAAGGATCCACATGAACTCGTCTTCCAAGACCAAGATGCCATGGGGAACAACATCTCCAAGAACACGGTAGAAGGATGGGGTATGGTGACGGCCTCTTGATACAAGGACGCCTGGCAAGGAGAAGTGGAGCCGTGCACTACGTCAGATTGGAATGCCCACTCAAGCGATTGAAACCTTCCGTCATCCTATCCTACGCGGAGGACGCCCTGCAGACAGAGCCAGCGAACAGAGGAATTGGAAAAGGAGAAGCAAGAACTCAGAAGAACAAGTCAAGAAAGTGGCCAAGAAATCGATCACGAGACGAAAGGACCCTCCCAAGAAGGTATGAGTGTCATCTACTCTGTATAGTCGCAGAAAACGGGTGTGCCTGCTGAGATGTGCTCATGGAGCAGTGGGCTGTTTTATGTGGTTTGGCCCTTCGGCTAGAATTCTTCAAAGGTGGCCTTGCAGTCACAACTCACCTTGAATCAGAGGAAGTGCAAGAATTGCTCAAGGAAGCATGAAGCTTGCGGCGAGGCCAGAGAGGATGAGAGGGCAAGCTTGTGAAGATATCTATGAAAAGGCACTTGAATGAAACAACAGAAAGATGATGACCACCATCATCCAAAAAGTGACTGTACCTGCAATGGAGGGCGGGTGGGAGAGTAGAACAAATGCAGAACGTTGGCTTGAGAGTGCAAAGTGCACTGAATGCCAAAAGTTCAGTTAGAGTTTTGTAAAGGAGAGGGAGGGAGAGAGGAGGGAGGGAGGGTTGAGCCTTCCTCTAAAAGCCACGTGGCCCCCAGAATTCGGGCAATGCGCTCCTTTTGACCCAGATGCTTCGGAGGTACTGAAATAGTTCACGTGAAAGTGACTCTGCAAATCTCAGGGTTTTTCGTGTGCCAAGATGCTGGGGACAGGAATGCTTTGTAGACAGTTTAAGTCGGTCAACCAGTGGCGCAACACCCAGTACATTCTCAAGAGCCCTCACCTCTGGTAAGTAATAACAAAAAAGCAGGCACCAAATACCAGACCTGTTAGAAACTGCTTGGACTACACTCAACGCGCCAGAATGTATATATATATATACACATCATAAATATTCTCCTAAAAGCATACAAATATGTACACATATACATATATATGTATATATATATATATGTTTTTGTGCTTTCGTGTTATATATATAGGGACTGCACGTTTTCGTGGTATTGGCCGTTTTCGTGCTTTTGTGTTTTCGGGTTGTTGCCGGTTGTCGCGGATCTCGCTGTTTTCGCGTGTGCGCATTTGCGCGATTTTCGTTGTTTTCGCATTGAACTCGCCCTTTTTGTAGTTCTTGTGGTTTTTGCGGTTTTCCCGGTTTCGCGCCGGATGCTTGGAAATCCCCTTAAGCAGAAGAACCATTGCACAGTAATTATCACTGCAACCTGGACGTTGCATCCAACGCTCTTTCTTCTTTGGCCTGGATCTCATTGTATTTTTTATGTTTAATTCTTGCAGCACCACCTGTGGATCATCTTGTTATGAGAGAATCATCCCGCTCTTTGAGATGTTTTTTGGTACCTGCATCTGCACTGTTCGCGAACCTTGGAGTTGTGTTTGTTCCAGCAAGAGACGACATGTACTGCAACGGAGTAAGACCTTCCCACAAACTTGATCATGATTTCCTCCTGCTTAAATCGTTCTTTTTGACTCCCCTTGCTGTGCTGCGGGGCTTAACAGTGCTTCTACCTCGCCTCTGCAGCTGCGCTTGCGTTCCACACCGGCTCATCTTCACTGCAGCCGCGTGGCTGTGGTTCGAAACTAGTATCTTGGTAAATCTGTCAAAATGAACGACACGGACTAACACCTCCCGGGAATCAACCTTGGGTCCTTGTCCACCCCTGACTCTCATTCTCCTCTTGAACAACAGTCTTAGACGCTACTTTGTCGAGGCCTTTCTGCAGCCCTAGGCGCACGGCGTGCTGGTGCAGATGTGATGCTCTTGGAACGTTATGGGTGCTTCGGAGGCCGAGATCCCAAACTCTATTCTTCTTTCTATTTCTATTTGGCCGACAATTACGTTAGCAAGAGCTGTCAGAGAGTGCTTTCTTAGACGGAGTCCCGCAGGCACCATCACTACCGTGGGCATGGAGACATTGGGATGGTACCGATATGCTCTTCGTCTGCCTTGATGGACAAACTTGCGCACTACATGGTATGTATTTACACACATGCATATAGTAGGTATGCGCACAGCATTGCAATCAACTTGCTTGATGAAGTTGATTTGCACTCAGACGTGTGAGAACTGCGATACCCTTTACAGACATGTACATGCAGGGCTCCAGAGAACAGTTAAACAGGAGACTGGAGAAAGCTACACAGACATACGTAGAGTATCACTGAGTCATACCCTTGCCTACCGGCATTGTTTTTTTGTCCAGAGATGCAAGGAAGGAACCGAAGATTGTGAAGGCATTGGACGAGAGATGGAGCGTGTTGCGGAGCGCATGGGTGGTACAACCAAGTGGCCCTACAATGACTCCGATTGTTTGGATGCAGTGTCTAAGCCGCAAGCAAGCAAACAATCTAGATGGTGCAACATTGGATTCATTATGAGCTGCGCTGTAAATTTGCAAGTTGTCTGTGGCCTTGTGCAATGTGGAGGGAACTACGACTTTGCTTGCAAAGCTGGATTTCATTCCAGGAGAAGTTCAAGCTTGTTGCGGATAACCTTATCAAGGACGCGACAGTGTCCCCATCTATCGTGCTTAGCTTTGGCGCGGCAATCGGAGCAAGAGTCAACCTGACTCTCAAGTGTGCTTGTTTCGAGGAAACAGGAGTCCGACCCATACTTCACATTTGGGTGGTTGAGGCTGAGCGGTGTGCTTTATTTGGCACGCAAAGCCACTGAAAGGGTCTTGATGTTTTTCTTCCCTTGGATCCCTTTGGCAGGTCCTAATCAATGAAGACAACCAGATCTACGGCGTTATCACGGAGTCCAAGTCTGGACGCCAAGCCATTCTGGCAGATCGAGTCATCGACTGCACAGGACATTTTGCCCTTTGCAGATCCAGATTTACGTCTTGATTTCTCTGGATTTATGATGATCTATGTTTGCCCGACTTCTTTTTTCGCCAATCTATTGAAGGAGATGCAGATGTGGCTCACCTTGCCGGCTGCAAGTATTCCATTCTCGATGTAAGCCAATCCTTGGGAGTGACAACTGCTGCTCAGCAAAGTCACAAACCAAAGCCCAGCTAATTGGTCTCAGAGTTTTCCAGAATGACAAGAGCAAGAAGAAGGCCGTGTTCAAAGGGTCTGTAGAACAAGGGAAATATCAAAGCTTCAGAAATGCATGCTCAGATTCTATCCTTGCAAGGTTTTCAATGCAGTGAATGTCGACGTGAGCAAATTCAAAGATTACACAGATAGGACTGCTGATGTTCTTTTGCATGTTGCAAGCCTTCAATCAGCCTGTCCAGCCCGACTCTGCAGCTGATTCCTTTTCTTGGTTTGATTGTGAGTTTAGGTCTGCCAACAAAAGCTTAAATTCGAGATACGTTGATATTTCAGAAATGGAGGTGAGTCAAACAGAACAGCCTTGCTTGGGTCCCATTTGGAAATGGACCTCAGGAACCCTGCAACCTACAAGGATTGGAGCCGAACATGGTCACAGACAACCTCCGGCAAGGAGGAATGAAGCGCCATGCCGCGCTGGCATTGCTTATCTTAACCTAATAGTGATGCCCTCCACCCTACTAGCTTTGGCCTCCAACCTACTAGCAATGGCCTCCAACCTACTAGCGATGGCCTCCAACCTAATAGCGATGGCTCATGTTTTGTCTCTCTAACTCTCTCTCTGTTTCCTTTTGTTGGAAGAGGTCCAGATAGGATCCACGTGCACATGGGATGTGGACCCTTCGGCAGGAGCATCTGAAGTCTCCCTACCTAGATCGTGAGTTTGAGAAAGCTGCTGCGGCCACCCGTCGTGCAGTGAAACGTTCAGGTGCTACCAGCTCCAAGCCACGCAGAATGTAAATTGTTGATGTAAAGCTGCCGCAGCATGTTGTTGGAAGACACAGTTGATCAACAATATTGACGACATTTGAAGCTACAGATCGGTGAAGAACTATGACGTTCTTGTACTGTTTTGCTTCTTTCTGCTTCTCAAAAAACAAAGAAATACAGCAAAATGCTTCGGATCTTTGCTTCGGACGTGAAAGAATTCTGAGGCGGGGGTCATCCCTCAGGACAAGATTGGAAGTTTTGGTGGAAGTTGGTCAGCCTTATCAGAAGCCGGAGAGGCCACAAACTTGAACTTGGTGCACAAGACAGGCGAGGATGGGTGGAGATTTGTGACTTGAAGCAAAAGCCATGATTTCTGAGTTCCTGAAACAGATTTAGCTTTTGCTAATACTAATAAGACATCACGTTAGAGAACTTGATAAAATCTGGCCAGGAGTGGATGCTACCTGTGTGAGGTGCCTTGGAGGGTTGGCCATCAAACCATGTCCCAGACCAAGAGATACCCTTTAGCTCCGAAGTCTTGAGCTCTACTTCAAACTAGCAGCTTCTTGTTACTAGTAGCGATGCCAGCCCCTAGTAGCGTCCTTGCTCCTAGTAGCGATGCCAGGAGCCCCTAGTAGCTTCTTGCTCCTAGTAGCTTCTTGTTATCAGTAGCGATGGCCTCCTACTAGCTCGACTTCAAACTTACTTGATACGCTGGAAGGGCTGAAGTGAAACCCAACAGAGTAGGTGTCCGGTGTCTGAAAGTCACCACTCTCACGAAATCTATATAGGTTGAAATTGCTTGATGCTTGAATGCAGGTGAGTTCCGTCTCGGAAACGTGAGGAAGTTTTCCAGGTTTTGTATCCGTTCGCTGCTCTCCGCAGCTCAGCTCCAGCTCCAGGAGTCTGACGGATGCTGAAATGGAAGGACGCCAGAATGTGATGCATGCACTTGAAGCACTTCGGCACACTGTGCCGGGCTTCGAGACACTTGGAAACTTTTTGCATTGCTTGCGTTTATTTGATCTCTTATAAGCCGGCTTGGGGATGGTTTAATGACCACATGACTAAACACGAAACAGTTGGATGTTCCACGTAGCTTTGGGCTCAAACGTAAATGCCCGTGTGTGCCACCTGTCAGAAGTGGGAACTTTTGGCAGGGAGGTGCACGGTTTGCGGGAGCGCGGATCGGCTGTGGGCTTTGATCTCCAGCTCACGGATCCCGGCCACCCGCGAGGCCGAAGCAAAGGTCACCAAGCTCCTCGACAGCGCCTTCTACTCGGTGGGCCGCCTGGTTCCGGAGGAAGAGGACGAGCAGGAGAAGGGAGACTCCTCTCCCAATAAGGACTCCAAGGGAGAAGGCTCTCCCAAAGCTCGTGAGGTCGAGAAGAAGGAGGGCAGCTCCAAGGACACCAAGGAGGCAAAAGAAAAGAAAGAGAGTTTGAAAGAAGAGAAGCAAAAGCCCAGAGAGAAGGAGGCGCGAGAGGCAGTTGAGGGAAAAGAGAAAAAAGAGGCACAGGCCAAGTTTGTGTACGTGGTTGAGGAGAAGAAGTCATTGCCCAAGAAAAAGGAGGAAAACAAGTCGAAGAGGAGTAGATCACGGACGCCGAAGCATCAGAAGGAAAAGGACAAGAGGAAAGAGAAGAAGAAGGATTCAAAGTCGAGGTCAGTCAGTGGATCGAGTGTAAGAAAGAAGAAAAGGGAGGATTTCACCTCCCATAGATCAGAGTGTGAAGGAGGCGCAGGTTCAGCAAAGCCAAGCAGTGGGATTCAGAGGGAAGCCTACTTGAGGCCACGGCCAAGCCGCCGGGAACCTAGGTCACCGAGGACACCAGATCACCCACCACCTCGAGCCCCGCTTTTTCAACCAGGAGGGGGACGAGGCGCCGAGCAGGGAACTGGGTGGCGAGGAAGCATCCCATATTCCCAACACCCGCGTTGGACGGAGTCAACCAACAAGGGCATCACCAAGAGGGCTAAGCAGGAATTGCACGAGAGGAAGCAATACCGAGGCCGTTGGTGAAGGGAGTCATGGCTCCCAAGTTGAGGAGACCGGCTGCAGCATTGCCGCGAGGCAGGGCTCTGAGGAGGCCGGCAAGTGGAAGAGAAGAGGAAGTTGAGGAGGAGGAGAAGAAGGTGGTTGAGGAGTACCACCCATTGGCATCTCTGACTATGGCAAGCTTGAAAGGGTTAGATATCATTGAGCTTGGAGAAGCTTCACATTATGGAGGGCACGTGAAGATAGCAGGACGAGTGTGTAGTTTGAGGCCCAGTGAGGAGGAGATGGACTTTGAGCTGACGGGGACGTTGACCGACAAAGTCCTTGAGCGATATGGGGGAGGCGGAGACAGGAAAGTACGCGTCCATGTGTGCCCTGCGGATTGCGCCCAGCTGGGCACGGGAGACCGCTTCTTCCATGCCAAAGGGTACTGGGATGCCACGGTGGCTCCAAAGCCGTGGCACACCAACCTGGTACCAGCGAAAGGAAGGGTTGAAGAGGAGGTGGATGAGTTGGCCGCGCTGAGGGAGATGGCGATTGAGCGTGGCAAAGGAAGGGGAGGTGAGGCGCCTCCCAAGGCCGTGGAGAAGGATGCAAAGGTTGGGAAGGAGGAGCCAGAGTCAAAGAAGAAAGGGAAGAAGAGGAAGCGGAAGGAGCGTACGGCGGAGAAAGAGTATGACGAGCTCCTGGCGACGAAGGAGGAGGCAGAAGAATTGGAGCGAGGCCAGAAGACAGCGCGGGCAGTTTTTGGTCACACATGCCTCGACCCAAATGTGCCCAGAAGGAGGAGGCTGATGAAGAAGGCCCGGAGGGTCAGTAAGAAGAAGGAGAAGAAAAAGAAGAGCTCAGATTCAAGTGGATCAGGCTCGACCGCATCCTCCAGCACGGAAGACAAGGAAGGGTCCGAGGAGGATGGACCGCTCTTCGAAGAAACAAGGAGGGTGCGAAAGCTCAGTGAGAGATGCCCAGGAGCACTTACAGCGCAGGCACTGGACAACATCCGGGAACACCTCCTTTCATCCCGTGGTGAGTTGCATAGCATGTCCAAAGACCAGCTGAGTCCGCTATTCTCGATGTACGCGCACCAGCACTTGCAGAGTTTAGCGAGTCCGGTGCTCTGGCAGGAGTTGCTGACTGTAGCGCAGGTCTCTGACCTGTTGGTCCGTCGAAAGGTGGCCGCAGCGCTTGACATGCTGGTTCAACGTGCCAAGAGCCTCGAGGCGACCCTACGTGGCGGCCACTATTCGGTATCCCGCCAGCTGGAGCTTGTCAATGCAGAGCGCGTCAGAATGGCGGAACCCGCTGAGCAGATGGAGGCCGCCCGCAGCGCCAGGGACGAGTTCCGAAACCGGTCGGTGGGGAGTCGTCCCTACGGGCTCGGTCAGCGGGCAGAAACAGAAGGACAACCCAAAGGACGTGGAAAGGCCTATCCTAGCTCGGAGCCATCCCAGAAGCCCAAAGGAGGAGAGAAGGGTAAGGGCAAGGAGAAACAGAAATGGGGAAAGAAAAACAAGGACGACAATTAGAGAGGGAGGCTCAGAGAGGAAAGGCAGCGAGCACGTCCGCAAAGAGGCTGAGAGAAAAGGGGTTGTCAACAGAGAGAAGTCAGGATGCCAGAAAAGATGAGGGTGAAGAGAGAAGGAATGAGGAGCGACTTGAGAAATCGATTGATGAGTTGTTGGTGGAATGCCACCGAAAAGCAAGCGAAGATATGAAGAAGGTTGGACCGTATGAGCCTGGGGAGGAGCTGGAAGACCGAAAGAGGCTGAAGAGCTCCTTAGGCTGGGCAAGGGAGGCGGAGGAACCCTCCCACTCAGAGTGGAGGAAGAAGCAATCTGTAGGCATGGGCCACGGACAGCGCCAAAGCTCTGAGGATGAGGTTTTTGAGGAGAGCACAGGGGAGTTGAACAGGCACTCCCAATTTGCATGTGAAGTGACACCGCGACTGGCTTTGACGCCGTGCCGTGGGGAAGCACAGATGACAGAGCTTGGACAATGGAGCCAATGTCGAAAGATCTTGCAGACTTTGTGTGCAAAAAAGGAGGTTTCTTTGAAGGATGTGGGGCCGGCACTTTCCCAATCCCTGGAGGTGTTATCACAGACCACGCGTTGCGGGCAGTCCACGGAGGGGGTTTTCCCCCTCCCACTTCCGGAGGTTTTGGAGGAGTGTTCGAACGCATGTCCCACCTTGGAGTTAGTAGTGAGGGGTTTGAATAGCCTTTATGGGGTTGAGACGACTGGTTTGAAGAAGGTCAACAGGGTGCAGAGGAGGATTCTTGAGAGACTAAGAGGAGTGGTTGAGGCGAGTGAGATTCCCCGTGTGGTGCTTCCCCCCGTTTGCTTGGACCAGTTCTTTGCCACAAAGGGTATTGATTACTCTGGAGAGGAGGTTCGTGTTGCTCGGGCTTTTGAGTGGAAGATGATTGCTGCCGCTTTCCCGGAGGGGGTTGGAAGTTTAGAACTGGGTGATTTCTGTGAGGGCGGAACCCTCTCATATGTTGCTGAGTTTGAGAAATTCTTCCTTCCGCCTCAGGATCAGCACTTGGGAAAGACGCCAGCCGTGATGGTGAGCCAGACGAACTGGGCCGAGGTGTGCCTGGGATTGGTCAAGAGGGGAGTGTGTGGGCTCATGAAGAGGGAGCAGCTTTACCATGTTGGTGACAAACCTGTGCTAAACGGTCTTTTTGCAGTTGAGAAGGGTGAGAAGGCCTTTGATGCTAAAGGTGAAGAATTTGAAGTTTGCCGACTGATTATGAATCTGGTCCCGACTAATGGACTATGTCGAAACCTTGTCGGAGATACATCCACACTACCCACTGTCACGGGGATGGCTGGCACCGTTTTAGATGACGGGGAACTCCTCCTTACGTCGTCAGAAGACGTGAGGTGTTTTTTCTATCTATTTCGGACGCCGGTCGAATGGCACCGTTTCATGGGGTTTGCAAGGGAGGTCCCGCCAGAGGGTCTCCCAGATGGATATTCAGGCACAGGGTGGCATTTGGTAAGTAGAGTGTTGCTTATGGGGTTTATAAACTCTGTGGCAATTGCTCAGCATGTACACCGCAGAGTCATTCAACAAGCATTGGGTGGAGAGAGGCAGTTGGCAAGCAGACAACAGGAGATTCGCCGAGATCGACACCAGAGCACTGCCCCACACCAGTACCGTGTGTACCTTGACAACTATGATGAGCTGCGCAAAGTGGATAGGGCACTTGCCGAGACCTTGAAGGGAACCCCGTCGGCCTGGACCCTAGCGGTAAGGGAGACCTACCAGCAACTGGGCCTCCCACGTCATCCAAAGAAGGGCATCACACAACAAGTGCAGGCTGAGGTGCAGGGAGCTTGGGTCGATGGGGACTTGGGGCGTGCTTCGCCCAAGGCCGACAAGGTAGGCAGGTATGTGAAGTTTGCGTTGGAGCTCTGCATTGCGGGCAAAGCATCACAGCGTGAGTTGCAGGTAGTTGGAGGTGGCTTTGTGTACATCGCAATGTTCAGGCGTCCTTTGCTGTCAGGGCTGAACGCCATCTGGAAGCAGGTGACCGAGCTAGGCAAGGTAGGGCCCAGGTGTAGGCAACCACTGCCCCTGGCAGTGATGCTTGAGTTGATGCGGTTTGTCGCCATGACCCCTTTGGCCTACATGGACTTTCGGTTGAGCACCTCGGAATTTGTCACTGCTAGTGATGCCTCCACTACTGGAGGTGGGCTGTGCGTCAGTCGTGAGCTTAGTCCCTATGGCGTGGCCGCTTGTCAGGCTGAGTGTCGTGGGGATGCTGTGGAGCCGGAGGAGATGGACCAGGTTCTTGTGGTGTCCCTTTTTGATGGGATAGGTGCTCTCAGGATTGCGCTGGACGCTTTGCGTGTGCCCGTGGGAGGATATGTGTCCGTGGAGATTTCACCCGAGGCCAATCGTGTTGTGGAGTCATACTTTCCGGACGTCGTCTGCATTGAAGATGTCGCAGCGATCACGGAGGAGCATGTGCTTGAATG